ACACACGTTGATACTGATACTCCAAAAACAACAGGGGTCGTGCGGTGGTGCCTGAGTCACCTTGGAGAGGTTGCAAAGGACTTGATTCATTACTCTGAAAAACCGATAAATAAAACAATCGTGCATTTATTTTGCCCTTCCTGCATGAACTATACTTCAAATTAACTAGTTGATAACATAAAGTTCTTTATAGATAATTGCTAGCTAATAAACCCAGAAGGGGTAACAATTAGAAACCACCGTTTTCCAGTTGCCAATGAAATAATGGTTCTACAAAACAATCTTCAACGAGCACTAAAAGGATTAGGAGAAAAGCTCCTAATTAGGATGGGGAAGCTTCCCCATTAGGATGGGGAAGACAGGATCACAGTACCTGAGCCCATCGATTACCCTTTATATCACTAGAAGTGGATCATTTAGAAAAGACTTGCTTACTAACTGTTGAAATAGGAAGTATGCGGTACCCCCTAGGAAGTATTTCTCACCAAAAGGAACCTCAATCTAACTAAGCATCTAAATCTAACCAGTTTACAAGAAGTTAAAAGACATCTTGAAGATATTATCAGCCAAATCCAGAATGGGAAATTCTATAGGAAAAATGACCTGTTTCCTTCACAAATAAATGGTATGAAAAAAAAGTGGGGTAAAAAGGGGGACAGAAAGACAATTGGATGTATCAGCTGAATGCCACGTGCAGGCCTTATCTGGATTATGATTTGAATAAACCAAATGTAAAAATACATTTTTAAGACAAACAAGGAGGGGGCCTGGGTGGTTCAGCTGGTGAAGCGTCTGACTCTTGAGGTCAGCTCAGGTCTTGATCTCGGGGGTCATGAGTTCAAGCCCTGTGTTGGCCTCTGCGCTGGGTGTGAAACCTACTTAAGAAAAGAGGGGCACCTGGGTGGCTCAGTTGATTAAGCGGCCAACTCTTGAGTTCAGCCTAGGTCATGATCTCACTGTTTGTGAGTTCTAGCCCCACGTTGGGCTCTGTGCTGGCAGTATGGAGCTTGCTTGGTATTCTCTCTCTCCCTCTCTCTCTGCCCCTACCCTGCTTGTGCTCTGTCTCTCAAAAATAAATAAACATTAAAAAAAAAAAAAAAAGAAAAGGAAAGAAAAAAGAAAAGAAAAGAAAAGAAAAAGACAAACAAGGACATTTGAAGAAGGCTTCATATTAGAAGATACTAAGGAATTATTTTTAATTTTGTAGGTCTTGTAATTTTGGTTATATGGGGGAAAAGCTTTTTATTGGTGAAATAGTACGATACCTAGAATTTGCTTTAAAATACCCCAGAAAAAATGTTTGTGTGTGGTGGGGGAAGAGATTGGTGGGGGTGGTAGTAATAAGATGAAACCAAACTGACAGAGTGCTAATAATTATTGAGTATGGGAATTTGATAGAAGTTGTCTGCTTTTGTTTACAACTGAAATATCCCATTATAGATCATTTATTAAAATTAAAGGTGGCCAACAAGTAGAGGGCAAAAGACAAGAAAATGAAAGCTTAAATCAAGCCCCAAAATGACAGAAAATAAAGAAAATAAACAGATAAAGCACTAGATCAGATGGTGGAAATAAGCCCAAATTTACCAGCAATCACAATAAATGTAATTGGACTGAATGCAAAGATTTTCAAACTAGATTAAAGGGATAACCTAGCTGCATTATTATACATATCATGATCATGAGTGACCCATCTAAAGCAAAAAGTCCTTAAGACAGTTAAAAGTAAAAAGATAATAAAAGACATCCTCCCTCCCTCCAAAAAAAAGATGGTGTAGCTATATTAAAATTAGGCAAAATAAATTTTAAGGTATTATTAAAGATATAAAGAGTCATAGCAAAATGATAAGATTCGACTTATCAGGAAGATACGATTTTAAATTTGAACGTACCTATAATATATCCCCCCAAGTACATACAACAGAACTGACTAAACTATGAGAAATTAATAAAGCCAGCATTGTAAAGGGAGATTTTTATCTCACTTCTCTCAGTAATGGACAGATTAAGCAAACAAAAAATTAACAAGAATACAAAAGACTTGAACGCAGCAAGTAGTAAGTTCAAATCTAATGACACACGTGGAACCTTGTGGATAACGTTAGCAAATACACACTATTCCCAAGCATGGAGGAAACATTTATCGAAAATGGACCAAGCATTAGACTATTAGGGCGGTTTCAGCAAACATCAAGGAATCACAAACCCAATGCAATTAAGTCAGAAGTAGATATCCAAAGAAGAAATCTGAAATCCTGTAAATCTGCAAATTAAAATATCCATTTCTGGATAACTCAGGGACGCAAGAAGAAAGCATAGGAAACATTAAAAACACTTCCTCTGAGCAATAATAGCATTGCATTATTATTTAGCTAGAAAGAAGGAACAAACTACCGATCCACGATGAACTCAAAAGGATCACGTAAAGTGAAAGAAGCTAGACACAAAAAACCACGTATGATTCCAATTCTATGAAATGTGCACAGAAGGCAAACCTACAGACAGAAAGTAAATAAAATGAGTAATTTCCTAGAAAAATGTGACCAAAACTGTTTTAAGAAGCAACAGAAAAGATAAAGAGGTCTTTGAACCTGTAGTAAAAAAAAAATAGTAACAATTAGAGGCAAATTCCACTCAGGATTGCTGATGTAAAAAAAATCTCAATTAAGTAGTAGATATAAAGTCAATGTATTAACAAAATACATCGTAACCAAGTTGGTTTTAGAACAAGACTTCAAGAATACTTCAACATTAGGACATATCCATAAATTCAACATATGAACACCCTGAAAGAGGCAAAAATATGTGATCATCACGCCAGACAAATAAAAGGCAGTTGATAAATCCAATACCTGTTCGTGATAAAAACTTTAGCAAATTAAGAACGCAAGGGAACATTTATAACCCTTTCAAAGCTAATTAACAAAAACCTACAGCAAACATTATATTCAGCAGTGGAATCTTTACAGCTGTCCCAATGAAATCAGGAACACGGTAAAAGATTTCCACTTTGACTGAGCTAGTCAACATTGGGTTGAAGGTCCTGGATATACAATGAGAAAAGCAATAACTAACTGGTTTATAGACTAAAACAAAAAACTAGAACTATCTTCCTTCCTTCCTTCCTTCCTTCCTTCCTTCCTTCCTTCCTTCCTTCCTTCCTTCCTTCCTTCCTTCCTTCTCTTGTTTTTTTAAGTTTGAGAGAGAGAAAGCATACATGCGCTAGAACAAGTGCGAGCGGGGCGGGGCAGGGCAGAGAAAAAAAATCCCAAGCAGGCTCCACTCTGTCAGCACAGAGCCCGATGTGGGGCTAGAATTCACAAGCCACGAGATTGTGACCTGAGCTGAAATCAAGAGTTGGATGCTTAACCGACTGAGCCACCCAGGCCCCCCTATCTTTCTCTTTTTGTACACTGTATGATTATCTAGAGTGAAAAGCTAGCTGATTAGAATTAGTAAGAGTTCAATGAGGTTGAACACATAAAAATAAACTGCACTTCTCTCCTCCAGGCACAAAGTTAGAAAATATACTTTCTAAAAAGATACTATTTCCTCCAAATGTACATCAAGTTAAATATATAATCACAGAGAGAAAAACTGATTAGAAAAATTAATTCAAGTATCTTTATAACATAGTACTCTGGGGTGCCTGGGTGGCTCGGTTGGTTCAGCATCCGACTCTTAGTCTCAGGGTCGTGAGTTCAAGCCCCACACTGGATGCAGAATTTACTTAAAAAAAAAAAAAATTAAAGGGGCGCCTGGATGGCTCTGTTGGTTAAGCGTCCGACTTCGGCTCAGGTCATGATCTCACAGCTCGTGGGTCTGAGCCCCTCATCGGGCTCTGTGCTGACAACCTGCTGGAGCCTGCTTTGGATTCTGTCTCCCTCTCTCTCTGCTCCTTCTCGCTCATGCTCTGTCTCTCTTCTTCAAAAATAAATAAACATAAAAAAAAAAAATCAAAAACATTAAAAAAAAAAAAGCCCCCTTAAACTTTATTTAGCAGGTTTGTTGTCAGTAGTGGCATACGTATAATAATCACAGAACCACTCTGCAGGTTCTGTGGTTCAGAGAAAGGAAAGAGAACAAAAGGGAGCTATGGGGAAGGAAAGGGGAAAATTCTACCTCACAGGAATGTGCCAGCTGTTAAAAGTAGGAGAAATGGTAGAACTAGAAAGTCCTTACTTTGCAATCAGTGTGACAACGGATTCAGGCAAGGATTACCTGTGAATACTCAGCCACGGGGTAAAAGGTAGTCAGGGAACAGGACAGTCCTAGTCTCGAAGTATCACCCCACAGATTACTCGATGGCTCACGAAAAAGGCAACTTTACAATGGAGAGATCTGACAGATGCCAATTTAACCGTGTGCTCAAACTCATGATCAACACTAATGGGAGAAGCTGACATTATGAGATCTGATAAGAACGTCACCTCTGCAGTATTCTCACTAAAAATGATGGACTTAGGGGTGCCTGGGAGGCTCAGTCGGTTGAGTGTCCGACTCTTGATTTGGGCTCAGGTCATGATCTCACAGTCGTGGGATCGAGCCCCACCTCAGGCTCTGCACGGATAGCGCAAAGCATGCTTGAGATTCTCTCTCTCTGTCTCTGTCTCTGTCTCTCTCTCTGCCCCTCCCCTGCTCTTTCTCTCTCAAAATAAATAAACATTAAAACAACAACCACAAAAATGATGGACTTAAATCTAATCATGAGAAAGCAACCAGAAGTCCACAGTGTGGAACATTCTCCCCAACAAATGCACTGAACTCTAGACACACACACACACACCCACCCACCCATTCATCACCATTCTGAGGGGATAACCCAGGAAACCGGGCCGAGCCAACCGCACCTGTTCCGTCAAGTGTGAGGAGGGAGGACAGGTGCTCAGCTCAACAGCCAGCAGAGGGCAGCGACAGGAAGCTGATATGCAAATAATCTGCCTCAGCGGACCAGCTAGGGCTCAGGCGGAGGGAGCAGGGGCGGGGTTTTAGCTACTTACCTCCCGGATGGCCCCGTCACAGACGCGAATGACGTTGAGGAACGTGGGCATGACCTGGGGCAGGAACTGCACACACTTGAGGCCCAGGGACTTGAAGATGAAGGTGATGGCCTGGACTACCATGGTGTGATGGTGCGAGAGGGACTGGTCCCGGAAGATCCGCATCAGCGCCACCATGGACACGGCGGGGTAGAACTCGTCCAGGGGCAGGTTGCCCATGTTGACCAGCATCTCGCTGGTGCTGTAGTCAGCTAGGACAGAATGACGGCAACAGTCACGAGCTATACGTGCGTGATGTGACTCCGACTTGGAGTGGAGCCTGGCGTGCCACCAACAGCCCGAGCGCCATCGGCGTTCACGGGGAGGACAGAGAACATCAGGACCCAGTGAATAGGCTGTCACCATTAAGGCTTCTAAGAGTTTCTGGCTTTTCTCTGACCCCAACTACAGAAGCCCAGAATGGTACATGATAGGTTTTCCTTAAATTGCTCTGTTTAACTTAGCTTCTTATCATTACAAGTGACAACTCTGAAGTTGAAACCGTCAGTAAAAATAATCATACCCCCTAAATGAAAGTCAAGGCCAACTCCCCAGTTACCCCCAAATTAGGCCAGCATCTGTTCAGTAGCTGCTCGGTCCCTCTAGGGGCTTCAGAGAAGGGGGTGGCAAATGCCACCAGACCTGAACAGCAAGGATCTCAAAGACTGGGTGAGGGGAGGCTGAACCGTACACTGAGGAGGGTAAGAACTCAGTGGGTCAAGAGGCTGGACAGGCACTGCTGAGTAAGGACAAAACCCGCAGGGACCCGGCCCCCACTCCGCTGAGGCACGGGTCTGACAGGGTGCTATCATAGATACACTTCTCTAACACACAGAAGAATACATCGGAAGCAACAAGGTTCCTTCCATAGAGTTTGGAAACAAATTATTTGGGGAAAACAACATTTTGCTGGAAGGGCTGGGAGAGCCACTGCTGGATTTTCACTCTTTCGGAAATAAGTCCGCCCTAGAAGAATCTGCTGTAACCCCATACCCTACCCAATCTCTCAGGCTACTTGTCAACAGACAGAGGGGCTCCAGAGCCAGACCAGTTGATGGAAAAAACAGCCCTGGATTCTGATAGCTACTAGTTTGTCTATGCCCCCGAGCCTGGCCTCAGATTTCCCTACCGATTAAAACAGAGAGGATAAATTCTACCCTCTTGCTCCTTGGGCACCAGGAGAATAGAAAATATCAAAGAAGGACTAACAAAGAACAACAGATGAACAGAGGTGAGGGGGTGATGATTCACATCTCTCTCATCAGCACCAAAAAGCGGGTACAGACTCTTACCCTTGGCAAAGAGTCTGGACACATGTAAGGATTCCAGACACATTGGGAAGCAGCATCCCTATTGGGGTTTAAGACAAAACTCAACTTTCCACTCAAAAGTCATGAAGTGAGCCAACGTGCTGTCATTTGTTAACCAGCCCAAGGCTCTTTCCAAACACAGCCAGCAAGCGCTTCGTGAGGCAGAATGTGATAAGTCTCTCATCAGTCCCCTCAACTTACAGGAATCCTGACTTGACTTGGATTCTGACAGGCTAACAGCAGAAGCGTCGCGGGACTGGTCAATCATGCCAATGTTCACTTTGTGCTTGTAGGGATCCAGGGCCCCCAAAAGTCCTAACACACGGATAGCCTGGGTGGGGAGGGGGAGGGGGAGGGGAAGAAGAAAACATTCATCACAATATCCGATGACCATAGCTTTGATGTGTATTCCTCTCGATGCTCCATGATATCCAGTTCATACCTGAATGGCCAGCTATGAGAACGAAACAGGAGGACAGGACATCTAACCAACATGCTCTCAAGAGCGTGTTAATGCCACAATCTCTCTCCATTCTTCCAGCAAAATCTTTAAAGACCGAGTGTGCCATGTGCCCTACCTCTCTCCGTGTACCCTGGTTCTGCTCAGTCTTCAGAAAATTCAGCAGGACCTCAAGCAAAGTGGGGTACTTCCTGTAGGGCTCCACCACATAGCCAGTGCTGGCCACCAACTGTCCCAGGGTCCACAGAGCCACCTGGACAAGGAACAGATCGTGTGGTCGGTCGAGTCAGTAGGAGAAAGCATGGTCTGTACTCTTCCTTAAATAATTACAGCGAAGTATTAGAGGCTTTTCCAAGAAAAAATGTTTCCAGTAGAGTTCTGTTAACCGCCAACAGAAATCCTTGAGAGTTCGGGCATAAAAACAAGGCCAGAAACCGATGCCAACGATCACTGGATACAGAAGAGCCCCATCTTCCTCAAAGGAAACACACAGTCCTTCCACATCCTGAATGATTAATGGAAGAAATCGAGCTTCGAGGGAAATTAAGACTGTTCTTAATGTTAGTCACCTAATGGCCTCAGTGGCCAAAGTGAAGCCAGGACTGGGGGTGGGGGTGGGGGCTGCTGAAGCGCGGCTTTTGCTTCCCCAGCCACAGGCCCAGGCTTTCCTTTTCCTTCTGGGGGCCGGGGCTCTGATACATGACCTGGATTTTTCTTTGAGCTGCTACTTCCTCAAAGTTGTCTCCAGGTCAGGACGACAACGAATCCTGGTTCCATATCTTCCTTCCCTTTACTCAGCAGATACTTCTGAGTACCTACTGCGTGCCGAGCTCTGGGTCGGGCACTGGCTGGGGGCAGTGAGTGACTAAGACAGACAAGGGCCCAGGCCTCCCAGGCGCCTGTCCTGCTCAGTCCAGAAAGAGCAGTACTCACCTGCCTTTTGGCCAACAGGGAGGAGTCCTGGAGCATGTCCATGATGATAATAAAGAGTTCATCAACCCATTTCCTCATTTCTAGGCCACTGACCTACAAAACGAAAAAGACCGCGGTAGAGAAGATTAGAAATTACGGCCTTATTTTGATTTCCTCAGAGGCTAAACAGTATTCTTTCCATCCTGTGGAAAAAGTGGTTGTCCCCTTACCTGAGCCAACTCTCCTATTGTGGCCAAGACATTATTGATCACACCTGGGTTTGGATCAGGGTCTGGATCTTTCAGTTTCAATATTAAAGCCTATGAAAAGAAGGTATGAGAAAATGAATGCAGGACAGCATCTACCAGGAACCTTTCTTTTACGTAAGTAAAATTCACCCAAGAGACCATTTCAGTCACAGATAAATTACTTCTAGGCTTTACAAATCCAGGATTTCTCTGGAATGTGGATTCTAAAACTTTTCTGAGCCCAGTCTGACATACGAGAGAGCTGGGAAGTGCCATGATTTAAAAACGTTTCCCATGCCTCCTCAAATGATACCTGTGTGATCATCTGCCCAGATGCACGTAAGTTCTGAAAGATTTCACATGCCTCTAAACGCATTCAGATTTTAAAGCTCATTTTTTCTTCATTTTGAAGGAACAATTTTATGCCACTATTTACCTACTTCTTTCCAGGCACATTTGATGATGTGCTGGAACCATCATTTCTTATCTCTTATAAAGAGAGCCCTTTCCTGCAATTGGTGGGATTTTTGTAGTTCTTTCGCTGAGAAGGGCCTGACGTGGCCCTCGTCCCCGAGCCTGGGGCCAAAGAACTTCTCTACTGAAACACTCCCATCGTCCCGAATGAGCTGACATAAGATCACCTGGCGAGAAAGTGCCAGTCTCTCTAGCTATTGTGGGTTACCTTCAGAATGGGCTCCATGTAGGGGCGGATGAGCCGGGGGGCATTGGAGACCAAGTGGCCCAGCATGCGGGCACTCTGTTCTTTGATTCTCCCGATGCCGCTGTGCTCCAGCTCTGTCAGAATCTGGAGGGAAGAAAGGTCCGTATGATAGAGGAAATTCTAGAGAGGAACGGTGTGTCAAAGGGGAAAGGTGGCAGGGAACCAGAGGAAGGAACCAGAACTCCACTATGGATCAAGTGGTTGCTAGATATTCCACAAAGGCAAACAGTGGGACACAGCAGTGGTGGGAAGAGAGACGGTCTGAAACCAGTCCCAGCTCCCACGGTCCCACGATCGTCCCCGAGCAGAGCTGTGACAGTGCAGCACAGTCACAGGAGACTGAGAAAACCACCAGGGACAGTATGAGCAGGGGTCTGCAGAAATAAGGATTGGAGTGGGGCATCTGGGTGACTCAGGTGGTTGAGCATCCAACTTTGGCTCAGGTCATAATCTTGCAGTTCGTAGGTTCGAGCCCTACAGTGATCCTCTGTCTCCTTTTCTCTCTGTCCCTCCCCTGCTCACACTTTATTTCCCTCTCTTCCTCAAAAATAAATAAACATTAAAAAAAAAAAAAGAGAGAGAGAGAGGGAGAGAGAGAGAAAGAAAGAAATAAGGTATGAAGGAAGGGCTCTCTTTGAGAAAAATCTCCATCCAGACAGCAAATCACTAAGAGGGCTTATAACTAATGACAAAAGAATCTAAGAACAGTCAGAATAGCTATGATGTTGAAAGAAATATTAATACTCAGTAGTGGTTTCAGGCACATCTAAACCCCAACAGTGAGGGATTATATCAATAGATTCCCCTTGGACCTTTATGAACAGAAATAACATGTTTGTTCTGACATCCTTAAAACACCTGCAAATCAGCACGTTCTACTCATAGTGACTTCATAGAAACAACTTAATATAGACAGACTTCTGGTGAGCTGAAGTTGCCAGAAGGAAATCTCTGAACCATGAGAACAGTGCATGTTAACTCAGCTACCCAGAGGAGGAGTCTACAATTTCACATTATATCTTGTCTCCGGTTATTGATTTAATAATCCTGACTTTCTGGATCCCCCTGGCAGCCTGTTTTTCCCCTGTCACAGCAGACAGCTGTGAGAGAAGATGGACAGGGATGCTGAGAAAGGACCCACGTGAGCAAGGAGACGCAGGCGGGGAGAAAATGCTTGCCCGTGAGGAGAGCATAACTCTCGCGGGCGGCAAGGGCCACTTCAAAGATCCCCGATTCATTTCCAGAGCCAGAGAGCATTGCTGTGTCCCCACAACAATACCCAATGCCCTCTCTGGTGATCAAGGCATCAGAAAAAGGCCAAAGCACATTTAGGTAATGTCCCTTATTATCAAGGCATGAAAATGTCCAATTCACCTTGGGAAGGTCTGTATATGCATTTGAAAACAATTAGAAATTTTGGTGTTACCAGGGCTGAGCTCAGTACATGGTAAATTTATTCAATAGTGCTTCACATTCCAGTATCAGAAAAATGAGATAGCTTATTGTAACCTTCCAGAAGACACAGGCCATGCCTGGCTTGTTCATTAATAGGTTTCCAGCACCCAGTAGAACCTGAAACATAGCAGGTGCTCAAAACATCTACTGACTGAACATACTGATATTCTCATTAGGAGATATTTCTGTTTCAAGCTTCTTTAGCAGGATTTGGGCTGGTAGGTTCAACAATGATTTCTTTTCCTTCCCTAAACCTTAGAGATTATATATATATAATATATATATTATATATATATAAATTTTTTTTAATGTTTATTTTTGAGAGAGAGACAGAGTGTGAGCAGGGGAGTGGCAGAGACAGAGGGAGACACAGAATCTAAAGCAGACTCCAGGCTCTGAGCTGTCAGCACAGAGCCCGACGCAGGGCTCGAACTCACAGACTGTGAGATCATGACCTGAGCTGAAGTCAGACACTTAACTGACTGAGCCACCCAGGCGCCCCAGGTATATTTTTTTAATGTTTATTTTAATTTATTTTGAGAGAGAGACAGAGAGCATGAGCGGAAGAGGGACAGAGAGAGACACACAGAATCTGAAGCAGGATCCAGGCTTTGAGCTGTCAGTACAGAGCCTGACATGGGGCTCGAAACCACGAACCACAAGATCACGGCCTGAGCTGAAATTGGACGCTTAACCAACTGAGCCACCCAGGTGCCCCGTAAAACCTTAGGTATTTTAAAAAGACTTAAAGTGATGGACACTCCTCACACAGGGCAGCAGTTGAAGAAATAAACCATTAGGCTAAACACAGAAGTGCCGGCAGCATATTGATGGATCTTGTTTTTTTAATCCATTCTGCTACCCTGTCTCATTTGAGACCTAAGGACACCTGCAGATTGAAAGTGAGGGCATGAAGAACCATCTATCGTGCTAACGGAAGTCAAAAGAAAGCCAAAGTAGCCATACTTATATCAGACAAACCATATTTTAAAACAAAGACTGTAACAAGAGATGAACAAGGGCATTATTATCATAATTAAGGGATCTATCCATCAAGAAGATCTAACAATTGTAAATATTTATGTCGCCAACTTGGAAGCACCCAAACATATAAATCAATTACTCACACATGTAAACAAACTCATTAATAATCATACCATTATAGAAGTCTTTAATACCCTACTTACAGCAGTGGACAAGTCAACCAAGCAGAGAATCAACAAGGAAACAATGGCTTTGAATGACACACTGGACCAGATGGACTCATATTCAGACATTTTGTCCTAAAGCAGCAGAATACACATTCTTCTCGAGTACACATGGAACATTCTCCAGAATAGATCACATACTAGGTCACAAATCAGCCCTCAAGAGGTACAAGAAGACTGAGATCACACCATGCATATTTTCAGATCACAACACTATGAAACTTGAAACCAACCACCAGGAAAAATTTGGAAAGCCCTCAAATACATGGAGGTTAAAGAACATCCTACTAAAGAATGGGTTAACCAGGAAGTTAAAGACGAAATTACAAAATACATGGAAGCAAATGAAAATGAAAACACGACAGTCCAAACCCTTTGGGATGCAGCAAAGGCAGCCCTAAGAGGGAAGGAAATACATTGCCATTCAGACCTATCTCAAAAGCAAGAAAGGTCCCAAATACACAGCCTGACCTTACACCTAAAGGAGCAGCAAATAAAGCCCAAAGCCAGCAGCAGAAGAAAAATAATAAAAATGAGAGCAGTGATATAGAAACAAAAAACCACAGGAGAACAGATCAACGGAACTAAAACCTGGTTTTTTGAAAGGATAAACAAAACTGATAACCCCCTAGTGAGACTTCTCAAAAAAGAGGACCCAAATAGATAAATAAAATCACGAATGAAAGAGGAGAGATCACGACCGACACCACAGAAATACAAACAATTATAAGAGAATATTACGAAAAATTATATGCCAACAAACTGGACAATCTGGAAGGGATGGACAAATTCCTTAACACTCACACACTACCAAGACGCAAACAGGAAGAAACAGAAAATTTGAACAGGCCCATAACCAGCAAAGAAATTGAATCGGTTATCAAAAATCTCCCAAGAAACAAGAGTCCTGGGCCAGATGGCTTCTCAGGGGAATTCTACCAGACATTTAAGGCAGAGTTAATACCTACTCTTCTCAAACTGTCCCAAAAAATAGAAATGGAAGGAAAGCTTCCTAACTTATTCTATGAAGCCAGCATTACCTTGATTCCAAAGCCAGAGACCTCACTGAAAAGGAGAATTACAGGCCAATATCCCTGATGAACATGGATGAAAAAATTCTCAACAAGATATCAGTAAATCGAACTCAACGGTACATTGAAAGAACTATTTACCATGATTAAGTGGGATTTATTCCCGGGCTGCAGGACGGCTTTAATACTCATAAATCAATCAATGTGATACACCATGTTAATAAAAGAAAGGATAAGAACCATATGATCTTTTCAATAGATGCAGAAAAGGCATTTGACAAAATACAGTACCCTTTCTTGATAAAAACCCTTAAGAAAGTAGGGGTCGAAGGAACATAAGTCATCATAAAAGCCATATATGAAAGACTCACAGCTAATATCATCCTCAATGGGGAAAAACTGAGAGCTCTCCCGCTAAGGTCAGGAACACGACAGGGATGTCCACTCTCACCGCTGTTGTTCAACACCGTGCCGGAAGCCCTGGCCTCAGCAATCAGACAACAGAAAGAAATGAAAGGCATACAAATTGCCAAAGAAGAAGTCAAACTTTCACTCTTCGCAGATGACATGATACCCTAACGTGGAAAACCCAAAAGAGTCTACCAAAATACTACTAGAACTGATACATGAATTCAGCAAAGTCGCAGCATATAAAAACCAACGTACAGAAATTGGTTGCACTTCTATACAACACAACAAAGCAGCAGAAAAAGAAATCCAGGAATCGATCCCATTTACAATAGCACCAAAAATACCGTTAAGATACCTAGGAATAACCAAGGAGGTAAAAGGTCTGTATGCTGAAAACTATAGAAAGCTTATGAAAGAAACTGAAGAAGACGCCAAGAAATGAAAACACATTCCATGCTCACGGACTGGAAAAACAAATATTGTTGAGATGCGTATGCTACTGAAAGCAATCTACATATTTAACACAATTCCTATCAAAATAATACCAGCATTTTTCACAGAACTAGAACCAACAATCCTAAAATTTGTATGGAACCAGAAAAGACTCCGAACAGCCAAAGTAACGTTGAAAAAGAAAACCAAAGCTGGAGGCACCACAACCCCGGACTTCAAGGGGCATTACAAAGCTGTAATCATCGAGACAGTATGGTACTGGCACACAGACACACAGATCAGTGGAACAGAATACAGAACCCAGATATGGACCCACAAACGTATGGCCAACTAATCTTCAACAAAGCAGGAAACAGTATCCAGTGGAAAACAGACGGTCTCTTCAGTAAATGGTGCTGGGAAAACCGGACGACGACATGCAGAAGAATGAACCTGGACCACTTTCTTACACCAGACACACAAACTCAAAATGGATGAAAGACCTAAATGTGACATAAGAAACCATAAACATCCTACAGGAGAAAATAGGCAGCAACCTCTTTGACCTTGGCTGCAGCAACTTCTTACTAGACATGTCTCCAGAGGCAAGGGAAATAAAAGCAAAAATGAACTATTGGGACCTCATCAAGATAAAAAGCTTCTGCACGGTGAAGGAAACAGTCAACAAAACTAAAAGGCAACGGATGGAATGGGAGAAGATATTTGCAAATGCCATATCAGATAAAGGGCTACTATCCAAAATCGATAAAGAACTTATCATACTCAACGCCCAAAAAACAATCCAGTGAAGAAATGGGCAGAAGACATGAACAGACACTTGTCCAAAGACATCCAGATGGCCAACAGACAATTGAAAAGATGCTCAACATTACTCATCATCAGGAAAATACAAATCAAAACCACAACGAGATACCACCTCACACTTGTCAGAATGGCTAACATTAACAACTCAGGAAACAACAGATGTTGGCGAGGATCCGGAGAAAGGGGAACCCTTTTGCACTGTTGGTGGGAACACAAACTGGTGCAGCAACTCTGGAAAACAGTATGGAGGTACCTCAAAAAATTAAAAATAGAACTACCCTGCGACCCAGCAACTGCACTACTAGGTATTTATCCAAAGGATACAAAGACGCTGATTCAAAGGGGCACATGCACCCCGATGTTTATAGCAGCACTATCAATAACAGCCAAAGTATGAGAAAAGCCCAAATGTCCATCAAGTGATGAATGGATAAAGAAAATGGGGAGAATGTGTGAGCGCGTGCACACGCACACACACACACGCACTGGAATGCTACTCGACAATCAAAAAGAATGCAATCTTGCCATTTGCGACCACATGGATGGAACTAGAATGTGTTATGCTAAGTGAAATTCGTCAGTCACAGGAAGACAAATATATGATTTCACTTATATGTGGATGAACATAAGGGAAGGGAAGGGAAGGGAAGGGAAGGGAAGGGAAGGGAAGGGAAGGGAAGGGAAGGGAAATTAAGATAAATACAGAGAGGGAGGGAAACCATAAGAGACTCTTAAATGCTGGAGGGGAGGTGGTAGGGGGATGGGCTAAATGGGTGATGGGCACTAAGGAGGGCACTTCTTGGGATGAGCACTGAGTGTCATATGGAGGTGATGAATCACTGGGTTCTACTCCTGAAACCAATACTACATTTTATGTTATCTAACTTGAATTTAAATAAATTAAAAATAAAAATAAAAACAGAAGTGCCAACATAATATAATCCTCTAATTTGTTGACTGATATAACTTACACTCACTTTAGCTAGGACAGACTGTGAATACATGACATTTGTTTCGGATGAAAGTTACACGTTAACGGTTTTTCTGTGTTTAAGTTTTTACGTGTTAGGAAAAGTATCTGTTTCGAAAGAAACCATGGGAGATTCAGGAAGCAGAGGGGGGCGTAGGGACAAGGTGGAGTCAGGGGACAGGAAAGGACTGGGCGAGCCACACTGAGACCCAGAAGAGGTGGGTGGAAATCACTCAAGGCAAGAAGGACTGGACCATGGGCCCCTAACCAGGAGGCCAGAGAGTTTATGCGGCTAGGTGGAGACAAAAACTGAGGAGTCAGGTTTTAGCAGGAATTGCAAATCCTGGGGCACCAGGCTGGCTCAGTCGGTGGAGCATGTGACTCTTGACCTCGGGGTTGTCAGTTCAAGTTCCACACTGGGCCCACTTAAAAAAAAAAAGTCCCAATAGATGGAGCAGCAAGGCCAACCTAAATCTACCTCTGGCTCCAGTCCAGCAGCTTGGCTTGGCATCTGACGTTATTTAAGAACGAAAGCCACGGACCACAGGCCGGGGGCAACGACTATGAGAAGCAGAGTTGGAACCACTGTCATCCTGGGCCTCTGTGCCTGACCTGGTGGGAGCAGGAGAGCAGGGGGACAGAGAGGTGCTAGCAAAACTGACACCATCGGCAGCAGACTGAGCCAAACGTGCCAAGAAGCGGGATCTCCGGTGACTTGCCAGGAAGAAGAAAAGAGCTGCCTGCAGACGAGGTTCGCCGGGGATAAGAGGCCCCTGGAGTCGTGCCGCTGGGGGTAAGAGGCTCGTGAGGCAATCGGCCCTGAACTGTAACTGCCAAGCTGGGAAAACAGGGACTCTTGGAGCCAAATGTGGCTTTTACCAGGCATCTTGATCTTTCTCCCCTTCCTTGTCCTCATCTCTCTTTCCCCAAATGGCTCTCACAATGACAGTCCCTTCCAGACTGCCACTAGGTGTGACTGTCACCCCATTACCTGGATGAGCATCTTGCGCAGGAAGGGCATGACGAAGGCCGGGTTCATGCTACTGAGCCGGCCCACCGTGCAGATGGCCAGCTCCCGGATCTCAAACACCTGGTCGTTCAGGGCCACAAACAGGGCCTGCAAGTTCTCTGCCTGGGCCAGGTGTGCATCAAAGCGCTCATCCAGAGATGCCAAGACGCAGTAGCGGATGTCGGGGTCTGCAAGAGCAATCGAGCCTTGGCATGCCTCTTCAATGCCGTCATCCTCTGGTCCTTTCCCAGTTTCCGCCCCCACTGCCCCCGGCCTCGTCTAACCTGTCATTCTTTGCTCACAGGAGCAAAGACAACAGGATTAAAGACAGATCGTTTTACGCCACCTGGCTGGAGTAGCCAAGCCTAACGCTTTGGCAGAGAAAGAGCCGGCCATCACCTCCCTGAGGGCACGCCATGAGAGTGGCTAATTCCCGGTGCCCCGAGTGTCCCAACTCCCCCAGACTGCTCCTGTCTCATGAACCTCACCAGGATCTGTGATCCCGACCACGAGCAGTTTGCTGAGCACGTCTGCCACCACTTGCACCGCAGTCTGGCTAACGACGTGCGCGTGCCCGCTGATGAGGTGGACGGAGGGCGTGAGCAGGCGGGAGCAGGTGCGGGCGGCTTCCATGCGGATCTCCTTGTGCTCGCTGTTTAGGAAATGATCCGCACAGTGGCGGACAAACTGGGTCAGAGAGTGGCCTGGATACAAAGGCAGAGAGAAGACAAAATAAACACCGCTGCTCTGGACGGCAGGCCTACAACTTGCTGGCTGCGTTTTTCATTTCATGGCGATGAATTCAGTTTTCAACAAGATATTGACCCAGAACTCTTCTCTTAAAAAGGTAACAAGTGGGTTTCGAATCAGCAGAGGCGGAAGGGAAGCAGAGGAGCTGGGAGACAGAAAAAGGGCATTCCCCCCACCCACCCCCCCATCCTAATCTTTTCTTTATTCCCTTCAAAGGATGAATTATTTCGTTTTATTCTGACCCAAACCTTTCTTTATGTTCCCAGAAAGTAAAACAATTCTTGATCGAATTTACCTTGTCTATTTTAGTTCCCAGATTTGAATAGCAAAAGAGAGTCTGATGTTGGCTGGGTGTAAATATAGCTACTTTCTATTCATTAGAAATATATTATGCTGGGTGTTAATCAAGGCAAGTGAAGAAGCTACAGGAAGGAAACCACAGGTGGCTGTAAGCATTCAGACCGCACACTTAGGCTTTTTGTACTTGCTTGTTTCCCTGTAGTCTTGAGCAACCACCTACATGATCTTAAATTTCAAAAGTATCCCTTTTTCTCTCCTGAAACAGATCTCCCTAGGGGCATTAATGTGGGTTTATCTGCAGCTTAGAACTCTAAACCGAACGACACAGGACGCCACAGCTGAAAATCATACTGCCGTAGGAACGGAAACACCTTAAAGCCTCTGGCTTAGACATTTTAAAGCATTAAACGCCATCTCCGCTTCATGGATGTGGGGGGATGGGGTGGGGCTCCATCTCTGACTTTCTCGTCTCTCTGAAGCATTCATTCCTTGGATCAATGCAGAGTTTCCCTGAACGCCATCTGCCCCCAAACTCAGGGTGGGACAGAGAAAAACAGAGTACGAATTAACAAAGCATGCAAAGAGCCCAGAAGGCTGAGCCGCTACCCGATCAGCTACCTGGTCTCCAGATCCCCAGCCAAGACCCGGCAATGCTAGGCGCCCTTGTTCTTTCCTCGGGGTTCCCAGCAACGCTCCGTGTCTCGGTAAGAGCTGGGGCAATTTCTTACCTTCAAACTCAAAGCTGCCGAGAGTTCGCAGGGCAAGAGTAATGCTGCCCACGTCGCTGGCCTCAGGGAGGGCTGTGAGGCCAGGGGAAGCCAGCTGATGGGCCAGGCCCTTGGGCATGCCCGGGTGCCGGAGGGGTTTGTGCATAAGGACCAGGGACAGCATCTTCAGTAGCCCATCCTGGATGTCCTTCTTCAGCTGTGGGATCTGACGGCTCAGGTCGTACAGCACAGCAGTGAGGGCAGGGCTGAGGGGAAGGAAACCAGGCGTGTATGGTGCTGGACAAGACATCTGTCTGTTCTTGACAAGAAACAGCCCTTCCCGTCCAGCAAGGGGTTAGGCCCATCACCGCTTGGTCTTTAAAGTAGAAAGGATACTACAAACTAGGATAAATGACCGGAACTCTGTTGGCCTGGTCAGAGGTTTCAGATCAATCTACGAATTTCTGGTCTTTGCCAGAGAGGAACTTGCTTAATATAATTTAGCCACTGCAGAAGACCAAGTCTCGATTAAAAATCAGGGAAGCAAACGGAGAGCATCGTCCTTATTTTACAGAGAAAGAGAACTAATGCAAGGAAAGCCAGGCCATTTCCCAACGATAACATAAATAGCTGCGAACATCGGTCGGGCACTTCTTATACACAAAGTGGTGTGCCGAGAGTGGCTATTTCATGAACTCCTTCACTTAACCTCCATGACAACCCTAGACAACAGGAGCTGCTATCGTGCCCCCTTTTCAGGTGAGAAAATGGAGGCTCGGAGAAGTTAAGTAACCGGGTCGGGATCACACAGCTAACTAGAGATGAAACCAGGATTCAAAACTAGCCCGTGTTTAGCGCGAGCTGTCCCGCCTACCCAATCTCTTTTTTTTTTTTTTTTTTTAATTTTTTTTTTAACGTTTATTTTTTTGGGACAGAGAGAGACAGAGCATGAACGGGGGAGGGGCAGAGAGAGAGGGAGACACAGAATCGGAAACAGGGTCCAGGCTCTGAGCCATCAGCCCAGAGCCCGACGCGGGGCTCGAACTCACGGACCGCGAGATCGTGACCTGGCTGAAGTCGGACGCTTAACCGACTGCGCCACCCAGGCGCCCCAACCGCCTACCCAATCTCACACGCAAACACCCACACCTCGCTTTCAGCACCACCCCGAAACCGCGGTTTGAGTCTCATACTCCCCGAGACGGGAGCTCAGGTTTCCGACACCCACCTCAGTCCCACTGCCAGCATGGGCTCCAGCAGCTCCTTGATATCCTGCTGGATGCCTGGCCCCATTGCCCGGGCCAGCATGCTGATGCAGGTGAACACTGTGGCATCCACCTGCATTGCCTTCTGTCTCCTGCAGAGGACCGAAAGAGCGAGTGAGTGGCCACTTGAGACACAATGACATTCTGTGATGCCCCACCTCAAAATCGCCTTGGGGCGAGGAGGGCAGGTTACCCAGGCAGGGCCACGACTCGTTGGTGTGCCGGTCATCTCCTGCCCAATTCTAGGGGGCCCACCACACCCTAGTCACCACACATTTAAATCTACAACAGCCCAGCAGATGGCAGTCACGTGTCTTGAGGAAGGGGCCCCTTTCCTGAATTGGCACAAAAGGCACCATGTGGCTTAGCGCGGTGCTGGCCAAGGTACCTATTCAGGAAGCGAACTGAACAATGTGTACATCAGGGACCAGGGTGCAGAGCACAGCCACCGGACGGAAAGAAATTCTCCCCGCAACGAGAAGGCTGGGCTCTACAATGGGGAGGCTTATCCCTTCACCAGGCCAATCTACTTATACGTACATATATACATATGCACACACACACACACACACACACACACACACACACACACACACGTATATCACTTAGTTTGAAAAAGGTTGGAACTCAACTGAGGAAGGGTTGTTCTTTGTATGACTTGCTACACCCTGGTGGTTAATGATGCAGAGAATGGGCTTGAGCTCCATGGAAACTGCGATAGAGCATCCTTCCTCCCCAACCAAGTGGGGCGGAGGGTGAAATCCTAATAGAGACACTTACTTATGGGCAAAGTCCTTTGGGGGTAGGGCTGCTCGGATGATGTCCAGCACACGAGGCAAATAGACCTTGAACTCAGATCTCACAGCCACAGAAAGGAGCCCCAGGGCTTGGAAGGCTGCTGTCCGTTCCTTCTCCTTCTTGACACAGCTCAAGACGTGGTTCATGGTATCTTGGAGGTACTGGGTATCTGATCACAAAAAAGACAAGGCATATGGCTCAAGGTCAGGGTTGGTGTATGTACCAAAGGTCAGAGTTCCTATAAAACACTTACATTTAGGTATAAGTTAAGACAGCCGCCTGGAAAGATGTAAAGAAGAATTAAGAGGATGTATTAACCAGTCTTGATAATCGCTTGCTAATCACTCCTCAGATACATCTTTTGGAAATATTAGAAATGTAAGATTTTTTTTCCCCTTTAATTAAAAAAAAAAAAAAACACCCACCAAAAACTTAAAGAGCCTCTGAAACAATAACATGGCACGATCGTCCTCATTAGTGTTATATTTTGAGGGAACGACTACATGCTCTTACGAAGTATATGTTAAATCTTGCTTAAAAACAAAGAGAATCACCTAAACGATTTTATATTATGTTGAAATTTAAAGTACTGTTGGATACTGTTTGCAATAAACAGGCCATTCTATTCAGCTTAGGCCTGGAAATCACTTTGCTATTACCCAGAGATTTCTGTTATAGTTATATTTAATAGAACAAGATTTAGTCTGTAATTTGGGAAGCCACAAGTGTATTTTCATTAAGTTTACATCAGCCAATGTGCACGGGTAGGCGATTCTTGGGCAATTTAAGCCAAAGTGTTATTACTCCTCTGAAGGTTGGAATTTCCTGATTTTTGCCTCTATTTCTTCCCTTCCATCTTGCTGGCCTCAAGTCCGTGCACCCGCAGAATATACACGGCAGCAGAGAAGGCAAGACTGCGCATCCATTAGAAAGTGAGGGGTGCCGAGGGCCACAGCTCATTTAGGAGGCAGTGAGCTGAAGTCCCAGACAGCACATATGCCTCCCTGCATTTATTGTGACGAGAAAGATCTTCTCTCGTGGCTCTCGTGGTCAAATGACACCGAAGCATGCTGGGGCTTGAAAATCACATCACGTCCGCCAGGAAGACAGGACTTCTGGACGGGAACAGCATTTCAGCAGGAAAGGAGCTTAAATCAAGAGGGTGATTTCCTTTGCCAGATTTAGCACCCTAAGAGATTAAGGGATCTGATATTGTGAGAGAGCCCAGCCCAATCTTAGGGCATTTTTGATAGTTCCAAAGCTTCCGTCATTAGGAAGTTTAAGCGGCGACGTCCAAACTGTAGGCTCTAAAAACGTGGCACTTTCCCAATGAGGCTCCATGGATGGAGGCTGCCCAGGCTGAACATCAACGACACGCTTTAGTATATTATTTAATAAAACAACAAAAACCCACATCAAAAGAATAAACCTAGGGGCCCTCTGAGCCTCTGTATCCTGCTGCTAGGCGGTCCTTTGAACTTACTGGGGTAACTGCTTCCACAACATGACAGACTTTGATCAAATTTGGCCTAGTTATTACTTTCTTTTGAACCAGAGACTTTCACACCACAATTATTTAAAGCTCTACTGAACAGGGGCATGTCTGGTCATTAAAGAAGAGAATAGCTGCTGGGTACCAGGTGGGAAAAACGGAAAACTGAAAAAAATATGGGCAAGTTTCATGATATCATTTCTCTCTGGTTCATTGATTTTATGTGGCTAATTGTCTTGTCCTTCCTCAACACCTTCTATTCTCACACGCAGCATATTTAACACCTCACCAACTATACTTTTTTCCTATTTCATCTGGACTGGGGAGTGTGAAATGAGTCTGTGTGCTAGAGGATGGCGTCTGTGGAGGGTCAGGCTGACCTTCCACTTCCACTCCTGGCTCTCATTTGGTCCTGAACGCTTATTAAGCACAGGCGACGGGCACCACAGTGAAGTGCAAAGAGACGTTCGAGACGGTGGCTCTGCACTCAGCAAGCAGGGAGGTAAGATGAGGATACTAAGTATGAACAGGCAACCAGAGTATTATTCTAATTTTTCCCTTTACCTTACTTCTAAGATGGATCTGAGGAGGCAGAGGAGGCAGTAATAACAGAATAATGGTTTCCACTTATGGGGGCCTACTCTGTGCCAGGCATTTAGAGCAGGTGTTTAGGCATTAACACGATTCACCTTGTGAGGCAAGGATTGTTGTTATTCCGCCTCTACGGGTCAGGAAGTGGAGGCCTGGGAAGGTCAAATAACCTGTCTGAAACCTCACGGTGAAGGACAGAAGCAGGATTCATCCCAGGTCTGACGCCAAAGTCTTTCCACGGCCGGAGGCTATCGAGGAAGGGGGAAGAGCACTTCCGGCCGGAGTAGCCCAGGAAGGCCCAAGGGAGAAGCCAGCCTCTGGGCGGGGGCAGCTCTGGGAGCCGGGGATTCTTGCTGCCCAGTGAAAACAGGGCAGGAATACAGGAGCCCCCAGGCCATCATCCCCGAAACCTGCCTCTGAAACCTCCAGTCCTTCCTCCCCGTGAGCGGTGAGGCAGTGGGTGACCACGCCAGGGGCAGAAGCAGGGCGGTCACCACACCCTCCCCGCCCCACAGAGGGGCTGCTGCAGAGTAGCTCAACCCAAACTGCCCTTCCTTCGGTCCCTCTGACGTCCGTCATGAACTTGTTGGCTTCCACACGCACGAAGTCGCTTGGCTCCAGGACTGCCTCTCTGCCTACACACTCTGGTCCTTCCCGTGTCGGCTGCCTCAGACACTTGTGGAAACCCTACGCCGGGCCCCACTGAAATCAGACGTGAGGCAGAGAAACCAGAGACTAGCCCCTTAGTTGTTGCTTCCAATGACAGGCAGATGTAACTTCCTGGAATCACTTCCGTGTGATTTCCCTTAAACAGGTAATGATATGACGTGTCCACGGACATCCTCACCTGTGAAGGCAGAAGGTCGAAATGCAGCCAAGCGGGGCAACAAATTAAGGATTGTCATTTGGATCAGCGAGTTCTTGCTATTCCTGCATTTCAGCACCCACTGGCACACCTGAGACAGGAGAACACAGGGTTGGCCACGGAAAGGGAGCACGGGGCTTGGGAGAGGAGGGGGCAGGCCTCTCGCCACCTACCTGATCGAATTTCTCCTCCATCAGGTCTCTGCAACACCGGCTCTCCACCAGCGTGGACTTCGCTGGGCTGGGGGAAGCCCCGAAGCCCATGAGGCCTTGGTGAGAGCTGTACCCCAGCAGTCCCACCAAGGCGTTGGACTGCGGGGGCTGGCCAGCCTGGAAGCTGGTGAAGGGGGTGATGTGGCGAGGTTTCGTCCCGAAGCCCATGAGGTCTTTGCAGTATTTGTCATGGACCAGCTGCTGCTGCGTGATTTCTTCCATTTCTTCTCTCAGGCGCTGCACGTGGGGAGGGAGATGACCTTTACTCACAAGTGCCACCTGCCAAGCCCCTGTGGGGTCTACACAGCAACTCCTCTGCCCAACCCTGCAGGGGAACTATTTGCCAAGTGGAGGGAGCCCACTCTTCATCTTTAGGAGTTGGATTCCCCCAGAACCTTGCAGGGGGCCTGGTTTTGTTCTAACTTAGGCAGAAGAGCACCACCTACTGAACAACGAAGAAGCGGCAGGGGGCTGGCCGCCAAGGACCCCTCCCCTGGTTTGGGAAAGCTGAGTTGCAGACCTGAGGTCACAGCGATGAGGTCACCCTCTGGCGAGGGTGACAGGGTGCTGGGAGGCCCCACGCCAGGGTCCCATTGAGGACATGCTACTCTCCTTGTCGCCGGAAACCCAGGTAGAAACAACTAAGGCAAGTTACTTTCTCAGAATCTGAAGAATTCCATGGGCAGCACGGACTAAATGGACTGGCTGAGAATTCACAGCTATTTCCTAGCCAAACGGCTGCTTAAAAACAGTCCAAACTGAGAAGCACAGGAAACAATTTCTCAACTTGCACACTATTCTCGACACGGGTATTTTCGCTTCTCAGACATCTTCTCCACTCTCCTTGTCAAGGTCACCAAGGACTCTCAGTCTGCTAAATCGGATGCTCAATTCTCAGCCTTTACCCTATTTGCCTCGGATACAGCATTTGATCCAACTTAATAGTCCCTCCTCTTAGAAAACTTTCTTCCCTTGGCTTCTTGGATCCCGAGCTTTCCTGGGTCTCCTCTCCTCCTCACGCCGCGGGTCTCCCCTGCTTGCTCCTCACCTCCTGACCTCAGGTCCCCAGCACCCCCCTTCTCTGACGCTGGTATGCTGCTGGGGAACCTGAAATCACAGCTATGTGCTGACGGCTCCTCAAATCTGGGTCTCCGCCCAGATCCCCCCAGAACAACTCAGTTCTCTGCTCAGAAGCCCAACAGGTGTCTGAAACACGTTCAAAAGCAAATTCCTGACCTACCCCAAAATGCACCGCTCCTTCCACCTAAGTTCTCCTGACTCAGCAAATGCCACCCTAACCTTCCGGTCACTCAGTACAAAAACCTGGACTCCTCTCTCCCTCACTGACCCCCAAATCTCAAATTCAAGAATCCAGCCCCTCCTTGTGCCTGCACGGTTCCCGCTAGGGTGCAAGCTGCCAAAGTCCTCTGCTAAGGCTGCCGCAGTTCCCTCCCAAATAGACCTCCTGGCATCACCCCTTGCCTCGCGGATAATCCCGCTCAACATGTAGCCACAGCGATCCTTCTGAAACGTGCGTTTCAGCTAGCAGCTAACAGCTTCCCATTTCCCACACACGGTCCGTAGGGTGGCTCCCAAGACCCTACACGATGCGCCCCTTACCTCAGTCCAGGTATTCCTCTGACCCCATCTCCCGCCACCTCCCTCCTGTCACACGGCTCGGTCGAAGTGGTGATCTCGCTCCCAGCCAAAGGCAGCGTGCTGCCGCCATGAGGCCTTCACGCCTGCAGAGCCAGCTGTCTAGAATGCTCCCCCCAGATATGTATTTGTATGGCTTGCTGTCTTACGTCCTTCACAATTGTGCTCAAACATCACAGGAGTGTGAACTGCACTGGTCCACTTATATGTGGATTTTTTTCCCCATAAAGACAGTGCAGGGTTATAAATGTATTTTCTCTTTTTCCTATGATTTCCTTAACGCCATTTTCTTTCCTCTAGCTTACTTTATTGTAAGAATACCGTATATTATGTTATACAACATATAAAATATGTGTTAATTGACTGTTTATGTTATCGGTAAGGCTTCATTGGTAGCTAAGTTTTGGGGGAGCCAAAAGTTATATGTGGATTTTCAACTGTGTGTGCGTTGGGGGGGGGGGGGCTTGATGCCTTAACCCCCACATGTTCAAAGGTCAATCGTATATATTTTCACTTATTTGTGTCTTGTCTCTCCCCGCTAGAATATAATGTTTTGTCCACTGCTGCATTATTCTAGCTCTGAGGACTTGGTGTAGCTGGCTCACAGTGGGTGCTCAGCTCAAACTTGTTCAATGAATGAACAATGACAAAATTATGATACCTTACATTTGGATAATTCTTTAGGATTTATAAAGTACCACCACAAGTACTATTTTTTAAATTTTTTTAAAATATTTATTTTTGAGAGAGAGAGTGCAAGCAGGGGAGGGCAGAGAGAGAGGGAGACACAGAACCCAAAGCAGGTTCCGGGCTCCGAGCTGTCAGCACAGAGCCCGACTCTGTGGGGCTCGAACTCACGAACCACGAGACCATGACCTGAGTGAGCCGAAGTCGGACGCTCAACCGACTGGGCCACCCAGGCGTCGCACAAGTACTATTCATTTAATCTATTTAGGTGACACTGTTCTGTTTTCCTAGGAGAAAACAAAGATCCTCGGGCTGTACGTGCTCATCCATGGGAAGCCCCATGTTATAGTTAGACGGGAAATCTCTGAGGGCTACCGTTTATGGAATGCCTACTCTATCAGATGATGTGTTAGGCACTTCGTGTAGATGGCCCACCCTTGATCAACGTAGAGGTTAGGGGCACAGACACCCTGTGAGGTCAAAAATCCATGTGTGACTTTTGATTCCCCCCAAACTTAACTGCTAATAGCCTTCTGTTAACTGGGAATCTTACCAATAAGAACAGTTAATCAGCACATACTTTGTGTATGGATTACACACTGTATTCTTACCATGAAGAAAGCTAGAGAAAAGAAAATGTTATTAAGAGAATCACGAGGAAGAGAAAAATCTATTTACAGCCCCGTCCTGTATTTCTCTATACTGTAAGTTTATGTTGTCTGTTTATGAGATGAATCATCTGTCAGCACCCACGTGAACATTATCTGCTATGAAGCAGAACAATGTGGATGTTACATGCATTACTAACACCGGATAGCAAAAATGAAAAGATGTGAGAAAGAAATTCGTGTTTACTTATAGGTATAATGATTCAGGCACTAATAATGAAGCAGCAGCAAGAAGACTGCATCACGGTAGCTTAGTGTAATCAATACGATTGCTTCATGGTAGCCTCGCCTATGCTCTGACGAATGAGTCGTTACCAAGTTTTTATGGCGCACAGTATTACAGTCATATTCACATTACAGTGCTGGAAACGCTGATACATTTTTTTAAAAACCACGTACCTGTGATAGGTTGATACACACTTTCTCCAATTACCAGAGAGAGACACGAACTCTACTGTATGGTGACGTAATTCTTTGAAAGTAAAGTTATAAAACAGTAAGAAAACCAACATGCTATTAACTTCACAGTAAATCTCACTCACCTAACGCCCACACGGGAATAGGCGGTCCACTGCCACATGAGTCTTGCACACGATGTCTGACACGATGAATGGTCAGGCGATCAGGATACAAAAACATCTCGTACCATTCTTGCCATACGGTCAATAGATTGTCACACGAAGACCCACAGAGTTCATCAACTCTATGGCACGATGATGATTTACCGTTCACTAAATGGAAGTGGCTCATCATCGTAAGGGTCCTTATCCTGGTTAGTCTCCTGGTGAGTAGGCTAAAGCAGAGGAGGGGTCGGCTTGAGGCCTCAGGGGTGGCAGAGGGGGAAGGGGAGGCTGGAGACGCGGTGCAGCGCTCTGCGTAACTTTACAGAAATACGTTGTAGTTTGTCTGACTTCTTTGCTTTTCCATGTCTCTGACAATGTTTTTTTTTTTTTTAATGTTTATTTTGAGAAGGGCAGGGGAGGGGAAGAGAGAGGAGAGAGAGAATCCCAAGCTCTATGCTGACAGCACAGAGCCTGACGTGAGGCTCGATCTCACGAACTGTGATGACCTGAGCTGAAATCAAGAGTCGGATGCTCAACCGACTGAGCCACCCAGGCGCCTTCTCTAACAGTGTTTTTATACGGTACCAATCTTTCTTCCACTGTCTCCTTCAGTTTCAGTACCTGTATCAGAAAAAGATCCAGGTCATAAAAGAAGTCACAAGCAGTCTTGAGTAACTCGAACCCTTCTGCCGGACTGCAGTGTCAATCGGTTTCCTGGCACCGCTTTCCCGAGGTCTTCGTCGTCCGGCACTGGTTCAGAAATGCTCGTCTCCCTCAAGCCGTCTTCTGTTAATTCCTCTGGTGTGGTGTCTGTTAGCTCTTGAATTTCTCCAAGATCCATATCACCTTTCAGCGCCCATCTTTTGGGCCACCTCCACGTTCTTTCACTCTCTTTCATGGTTTCCTTGATCGGCTTTGTCCTAAGTCCTGTGAAGTCATGCACGACATCTGGCCACAGTTCTCTCCGGCAGGAATTTACTGGTCCAGGCTTGATGGCATTTGTGGCTTCTACAACCAAAATGGATTTTCAGCGATGGAATCCTTCTAGACTTTCTATCAGGGTTCTCTTCAAAGTGTTGACAATCCTTTTCATAAAGTACCATGTGTAACGAGCCTTAGAGGTCATGACCCTGATCCAGAAGCTGAAATAGAGACGTTGTGTTTGGGGGCAGTCAACCCCTTCGATGGCTCCAGTATTGAACTCATGGGGTTCTGGGTGGCCAGGGGCATTGGCTCATATGGCAAGAACTGTACAAGGCGACGCTTTACCGGCAAGGTCCTTCTTGACTTCAGAGACAAAGCATCAAGGGAACCAATCCAGAAAAAGGGCTCTTGTGTCCAGACCTTCTTGTTTTACAAACAGAAGACTGGCAGCTGGTGTTTACCTCTTCCCTTCAAAGCTCGAGGGCTAGCGGCTTTATAGATAAGGGCCGTCCTGATTGTAAACTGGACCGTATTGCACAATGGCAGGATTATCCTGCCCCTTCCTGCCTCAAATCCTGGTGCTCGCTTCTCTTCCTAATAAATGTCCTCTGTGGCATTTTTTTTCCAGAGCAGGGCACTTTCGTCTGCATTAAAAACACGTTCAGGCAGATACCCTTTCTCCTCAGTGATTTTCTTTTACAGCCTCTGGGAACTCATCTACTGCCTCTCGGTCAGCAGAAGCTACTTCTCCTGTTATCTTCACTTATTTTTTTTTTTTTTTTAAGTCAAACCTGTTTCCAAACTCATCAAACCATCTTTTGCTGGCATCCGATTCTCCGGTGCTAGGTCCTTCACCTTCCGTTTGCTCTACGTTGTCATATAATGACTTTGCTTTTTCTCAAATCACGTTAGAGTCTTTAAGTATGCCTTCCTTAAGGCAATCCTGAACCCACATAAAAGCTACATTTACCATATGCGATCAAAAGACACTTCACAAGGGGCACCTGGGTGGCTCAGTCGGTTAAGCGTCTGACTTCGGCTCAGGTCATGATCTCGCGGTCTGTGAGTTCGAGCCCCGCGTCGGGCTCTGTGCTGACAGCTCGGAGTCTGGAGCCTGCTTTGGACTCTGTGTCTCCCTCTCTCTCTGCCCCTCCCTCACTTGTGCTCTGTCTCTCTCCATCAAAAATAAATAAATGTAAAAGCTATTTCTCAAAAAGTGCAAGAGATTTGCGCCTGTAGGCACAGCTGTGGCAACAGCTTCACGCTTCAGCGTCCTTTTCTTTTTTTGCAACGGTGGATTAAATGCTGGATTCATTTATCCTGAAACGGTGGGCAGTCACAGCTGTGGACCTCAAGCTGTGGTACGTCTCAAGCAAGGCAACGTTTTCTTACAATATCATGACTTTGCTTCTTGGGAGAACTTTGCCAGTGGCACTTCACATGGGTTCCACAGAATTATTCAAGGTTTTTTTACAGTATCGCACTGAACACGATGAAAAACACACGAGGACGGAGACAGATCGACAGATCGCTTTTGCGACACGCGGCTTACTGGAGGGGTGAACTGGGCACATGGAGATGATCAGCCTCGCACAGTGTTTTAACCAGACATTCCCAACACTTGAGCTCATTGCAGCAGCAACAGAGGTGGCTACGAAATTACTACAGTCGGTACGGTTGTACTACAGTTAATTTTATGCGGTTAGGATTTAATATTGTACCTTCGTGTTTGTTCACATTTCTCTCGACTGCAAACGGCACCAGGTATAGTCTGTGAATGCTCGTGTGCATAAGTTTAGGTAACGTTTAACTCTAACAAGAGATTTGTGTATATTTTACGATGGTCAATAATAAGACTACGATCTACATCTATGTTACGCCTTCGTGACATACTTAGCTTCTTAATTTCTAGGCTATGAGGTTCCCATCTGTGAGTTTTTTTGAACGGTCACAAACCTCCCAAAAAGTTTTCCAGTATGTGTACCGAAAACAACCCACCTAGAAGTGGACCCATGCAGTTCAAACCTGTGTTGTTCAAGGGTCAAGTGTACTTGGAAACCTCCCAGGAGCCCAGTGAGGTGGAGATCCCCGTTAACAGCAAGGAAAAATGAGGCTAAAGGAAGTAAAATAATGTACCCAAGTCACACAGTGTACACATGAATGGGGATTCCGAGCCGGACTCCTGAGCTCTCCGTACAGTGTAGCCCAGGCCGCCCGCATCTACAGCACAGCCATCACCAAATGATCATCCGGTCTATTAAAGCAAGAAGCCCTGGGGCAAAATTCCACACCAACTCGCTCCCCGTAGGAAGACCCGTGGATGAGGCTCTACTCCCAAATGTATCCCGAATCCAGTGTCAGTGGATTGACACTGAATCCACTTCTCAGTGTCTGCACTGCCAACCCCAGGGAAGCCACCACCCTCACTTGCCCAGACTACTCCAGTAGCCTCCCACGGTAGCCAGGAGAACAGAATCAACTACAAGGAGTGCAGCTGACAACGGCCCCAGCCACGACTCTAAAAATATCACGTTTGTGCCAAGGCCACATTTGCCACGGACTGCCTCTAGCCAACACAGGATGCAGGAGGAATGCTGAGGCAGGGCTCCCGGGGGGGGGGGAGGGCGGGCCATGGTGGCCGGAAGCCCCCCGTGGTGGCTTTGCGCGGTAGCCTAGCACGCTCCTGTCACTTTCCTTTGCTGTCTCATGGCTGCTGATGGCTAGCCGGCCTCTCCCTGCTCCCTCCACGTCCCCCGCCCCCACCATAAGTTGTTTCCCTGACAAAAGTCCTTGCACTTTTAAACACAACCCCCTAACGAGTCTCCTGCTTTCATTCCCGCCACTGTACGAGCTTTCCCTGCACCAGTAGCCAATGATTATTAAAAATGGAGGCCCTCACCCCGCTCCCCTGGGCACGCATCTCCAACGCCTATGAGAATAAGAGCCAGTGTTGACCGCGACCCTGAGGCCTAAGAATTTGACCCTTTCCCCAACCTCCCTTCCTCTCCGTGCCCCAACCACATTTCCCTTTTTTCTGTTCCCTGAATTTGCCAAACTCTCTCCCACCTCAAAGCCTCTTCCTGGAACACCACCATGCAGCACAAAGCTCGCTCCTCCACATCATGTGGGTCTCAGTTGAAACAGCACCACCCCAGAGAGGAAGTCCCCTCCCACTGCTACCCTCCAACCCGTTATTTCACAGGACTTGGTGCCTTCTGAAGTGACCTCATCGACTTGCTTATTGCCTGGTTCCCTTGTAAAACGTCCTCTGTAAGGACAAGGATCTCGCCTTGTTTTGTTCACAGAACGGCATGTGGGAAGCCAGACTCCCTTCTGACATGCTTCCTCACCTCTCCCTCCATGCTGCTGATTCGGACCAACTCGTTGAGGATCAGCAAGGCTCCATGGATGCGATCATCCCGATTCATGCCCTTCTCCTTGGCCAACGTCTCATCAAACCCCTTCTCTGCTTCTTCAAACGTGTGCTATTAGAGACACGGGACGTGTTAATTACCCCATGTCCAAAGGGAGAAAGACCACCAGCCCGCCCCTTCTGCATGGGGGACCCTGAGGTGTTACCATGCCTGCTCAGTGGCTTGTGCCAGCAACATCAACGACAGGGATTCACCAAGCTCTTCTCGTTTAATTTAGCTTCAACGTGCACCGTACCATGAGGCAGAGGCCACGACCATCCCCATTTAACAGATAAAAACCAGAGGCTCAAGGAAATTAAGTGACTGGTCCAACGTCACATAGCAAAGCCAACCCTAGAACCCAGGTCTCCAATGCCACGTTTAGGAATCTCTTTGTAGTATCAGCTCTTAGTTAAGTGTTCTCAGCAGCAGCAACTGGCACAGGGCTCGTGACATTAGACGAGAGAGACCTGGCACTTCTTAAATTAGTATCATCGTGTGTCGCTGCTTCTCAGACACCCATTTTTCTATATTTTCACAGCTCTGAGAGGAGAGCTCTTATAACTGGTGATGAGACGGCAGTAAGTCATAGTTTTACTGTATCGCGTTTTCAATCATCCTCAGTAGCACGTAAAATAATGGTGTGGCCACCAACAGATCTTTGCATTAATGAAATCCAATGAGATAAGTACTGACTCATACTGAGCTTAAGAAACCACTTGCGACCAACACAAAAGTGACATTTGCTCTGTTGCGAGGGCCCTGTTGCGGCCCTTAGGCCAGGTGGTGCTGTATATAAACGTGCTGTGCGGCGCCTGGGTGGCTCAGTCGGTAAAGCCTCTGACTTCGGCTCAGGTCATGATCTCCCGGCTCGCGGGTTCGAGCCCCGCGTCGGGCTCTACACTGACAGCTCGGAGCCTGGGGCCCGCTTCCGATTCTGTGTCTCCCTCTCTCTCTGCCCCTCCCCTGCTCGTGCTCTCAAAAATAAATAAACATTTTTTAAAAGTGTGCTTTGCAGGCGAACGCAACGGAACCATCTCCTCACCCTGTACCACTGAGGCTTCTGCATCTCCTTCGGCTCACGCTGGGTGGTGAGGATCAAACAGGCACGAAGGGCGGCCACAGCTCCCTCCCGGATGGCCTGTTTGGGGTCCCACACGGCCACAAAAATGGTGTCAAAGAAGGGCTGCACTTGCTGGAAGAAGAAGGTGGGGACGCTGATAGCCAGCTCGCGGAGAACCAGAACCTGGGGGAGAAGAGCACACAGAGGACCCTGGTCTGTATCAGAGAGTTTCGTCCCATCGGGATGCGGCTTCTTGCCACCCTGGAGCCTGTGTGTATATACGTCAGGAAAGGAGCAGACTCGTCCTCTCTTCTAGCTGGGAACCTCTGGGGACATAGGAATAAAAGAAAAATTGATCGAAAATCTCAGTGTTCATTATCCTAGGGTGTTTACAAACACAGGATTCTCACAATGTTAGAACATGAGCTCTGGAAGGGAGACATGTTTACGCTTTGCATTCTGTCCCAACGACCGCCTAAAACCATCCCTGGCGCACAGCGGTATTTGACAAACGTTTATTTGTTTTTTAAACGTTTATTTACTTTGAGAAAGAGAGAAAAGCACAAGCGGGGTGGGAAAGAGAGAGAATCCCAAGCAGGCTCCGCACTGCCAGCGCGGAGCCCAACGCGGGGCTCGAGCTCAGGAACTGTGAGGTCACGACCCGAGCTGAAATCAAGAGTGGGACGCTTAACCAAATGAGCCGCCCGGGCGCCCCTTGATAAACGTTTATTAAATGAGTTAATAATCCCGTTCAATATTTAATTTTGCTATATGTCCATCTGACAGTGGAAGAAACTGAAGGTCAGAGGTTGGCCCGAGTTTCAGAGTTAGGAAGGACAAAGCCGCCTTGAAGCAGGGTCCACATGGCTGTCCCTCCCCCAGTACCAGGGTCCCTCCTCGTGGTACTGGCTCCTGAAGACGGAGCCGACAGGAAAGGATCCAAATGATGCCCCACCACGTTCATTCCCAGATTCTCAAGGACAGACTTCTCCCTCATCTCGCGGCCTGGAAGCCGGTCCCTCAAACCGGGCTTTTTTCAGGGCCGAGCCTCAAAAAAGCAGTGGGGATGCACCACGAGAGGATGAGAGGCTCCCATTCCCCCAACTGCAGAAGAGCCAATGAGGAAAGAGGGAGTTTGGGCCAGGTGCCCACCAATCAACAAATGCCTAGAAAATAAACAAGAAAGGCCAGAAAGGAGGCAGACCACCAGTCCCGCTGCCCCCGCTCCTCTCCTCCTCCTAGTATTTCTGTGTTCCCATAGGACAGCAGAGAGACCTTGACAGAAACACTGACAGGATCACACAGATAGGACAGCTGTCTGGGGCTTTAGGAGCCTTTTGGCTTGTGATTTCGTCTGCCTGTGGCCAAGGGGGGAGCCTTCTGCTCAGGAGGCAGTTTTGAGTCTAGGAAATCAGAGGCCCAGACAGCACCGCACTCAGGGCTGTGCCTACCGGGCAGCGGAAGAGAACTTCCAAGTTTCCTCTTTGGGGACGGAGCTTGGGGCAAAAAGAGAGAGGGATTCGGGACAGAACCGAAGGCCCCTAAGAAGCACAGCGCCTCTGCCTGGAGCGTCCCCTCACCGCCTGCCTCGCAGGGACCCGAGCACGTGGTGCGGAGGACCCCGACAGGGCCCCCTTGCTCCCCGGCCGGCTGCATCCCTCCCCGCGGGCACTCACGGCTGCGTGTCTCCGGCCCTCGTTGCGGTCGGCGCCCAGCCACTCCAAGGCTCGCTTCACCTCGAACTCCACATACTCAGCTGTGAAAGTGTCGCCTGCCATGGCAAGGCGGCCAATGGCCTTGGATGCCATCTCCATGACAACTGGGTCATTAGAGGGGAGGAGGTTCCGAAGATAGTTAGCAAATCTGCCGATACGGGTGGCATTCCCGCCTTCCACTCCTATGAGGCTGGCTGGGAAAGACAGGAAGACAAAAGGTGAGGATGGGCACGTCCGGTCCCGGAGAGCGCGCGGCCCTGGCAGGAAGGCTGGCGCGTGACCCCTTCCTGCTGCTTTGAGTACCAAGCGCAACTTCCAGGCGGGAAGGATGCAGACAATATTTTCATTTTAAGCAGCAGGTTTGACACCTGTGCCAGAACTACTTACATAAAGCAAAACAACCTTGTTTTAGGACACGTAATTTGCTTTCCCAAGAAGAAAAGGAGTAAAACGGAGAATGAATAATAATGCACCAGACCGGTCCCTGGGATGTGAAAATGACATGCTTTGTATCACTGTACCCCAACTTCGCCTCTCCATTCGTGAGCCCCGCTACGCCGAACTGCCCGACAGGGAAACCAGAGCCTGCAATGAGCCACACGGGGTGGGGGGAAGAAAGCTGGCTTGCGGTCTCGGCTCAGGCACCACCTGGTCCTACGAAAGTTGCGTAACGGTTCTGAGACTCTGTAGCTGAAGACATCAGCTGTGCCACCATCCCAGGACCGTCGCTAAGATTAGTGCCTGAATAAGTACGCTGAAAGCCACAGGGCTCCTTAAAATTTCACGAAACGGGTAGGAACTCAGCATCTAGTAAGCAGTGGACGCAGGTGCAGTGGACACAGAGGTGACCGCCCTTCATTCCCAGTTGTCCCCGTCACCAGAGGCCCTGCCCTTACCTATGGCCAAGATGCCACCTTTCCTTTCATTGGCATCCGAGCTGGAAACCAGTTCAAAAATGTGATGGTTCAGCTGATCATAGAAGCGAGTAGACTCCTCTTGACTCATCTGCGGAAGAAGATGTACTCAGAACAACTTCTAATGTCTCCCTGATGCTGGGGGCGGGGGGGGGGGGGGGCTCCCAAAGGTCAGGACTGAGAGGTGGCCAGCAGATCTGGCTCACGCCGAAGAGGAAAGAACTACTGCCCCCGTTTATAGCTGTAAACTGTTGAGCAGATGAACCCACAGCTCATTTGTATGTGGAACAAATGCCTGTTGAGTATCTACCCCATGGCAGGCCACATCCTGGGGTTACAAGGATGAGCAAGAGACACCGTCCAGACATCAAGCATGCTCTCTCTCTAGAAAGCCCCAGGCTATCAGCTCCTCAAACCCAGCCCGACTACGGTTATCAGATAGAAAGAACTGAAGGTCTGGAATATGGTGGGAAAAGACAGACAGACAGACAGACAGACAGACAGACAGACAGACAGAAAGAAAGAAAGAAAGAGAAAGGAAAAGAAAAGGAAAGAAAAGGAAAGAAAGAAAAGGAAAGGAGGAAGGGAGCACAGCATAGGAAATGTCACAGAAATGTGTAGCCACTACAAAGGAACCGGCGCACCCTACAGACAGGAAAAATTGGATGTCTTTGTTTTCCAAATCCTCACTCAGCCGTCAGAAGGAATCGAAACCAGTGCCGGTGCATTGGGGCCCAATACTCCACGACAAAGCCCAGAAGCCCTGACCTCTCGAAGCTCCATGGTGACATAGTGCTGGAGCTCCTTGGCAGCTTTGGCCCTGGTCTCCTCATTCCGGCTCTTCAGGCCGCTGGCAAACTGCTGCAGGACGCTCACGTTGCTGGACGTGGTGGTGGCTGTGGTGGCGGTGGTAGGTCCGGTTCCCAGCATCTTGACCTGAGGTTCTTTGGAGAGAAACTTCCCTCAATATTTTGCATAACAAACTATGGTGTCATGAATATATTTATGGTGCCCATTCCTCAACACGGATCTCCTCTCTGCCCGTTGTCGGGGGGCGGGGGGGGGGGGATCCTAAAAAGGTTGGGAGACCTCACTGAGGAATGTAGAGAAAGCCTTGATTCATTCCACAATGACTGGTGTTTAAAACAGGTGGCCCCGCCCGCCCGCCTGGGTGGTTCTGTCGGTTAAGCGTCCGATTCATGATTTCAGCTTTGGGTCTTGATCTCGCGGGTTCAAGCCCCACATCGGGCTCTGTGCTGACAGTGTGGAGCCTGCTTGGGATTCTCTTCCTGCCTCAGAATAAATAAATAGACTTAAAAAAAAAAAAAAAAAGAGGCAGTGTAGCAGATAGGGTTAAACTGTGGGCTCTGAAGCCAGACTACCTGGGTTCGAATCCAGTCCAAAATTATGTATTAAATTACAGATTAAGTGAGTTAATAAATGTTAAAAAGTGCTTCAGTGCCAGGCACACAGTGAGTTCTTTTTTTTTTTTTCCAACTTTTTTTTTTTTTTTTAATTTATTTTTTTCGGACAGAGAGAGACAGAGCATGAACGGGGGAGGGGCAGAGAGAGAGGGAGACACAGAATCGGAAACAGGCTCCAGGCCCTGGGCCATCAGCCCAGAGCCCGATGCGGGGCTCGAACTCACGGACCGCGAGACCGTGACCTGGCAGAAGTCGGACGCTCAACCGACTGCGCCACCCAGCCGCCCCTGTGAGTTCTTAATAACCGTTAGCTGTTATTACCATGACCAGCACCAAAATCAAGAGTCAGTTGCTTCTCCAACCGAGCCACCCGGTTGCCCCCATAAATGTAATTTTAAATCTCCTGGCAACTATATCAAAAAGACGCAAAAGGAAACAGATGAAATTAATACATTTCTTAAATCTAATAGATGCAAAATATCATTTCAACCTGTTACCAACATAAAAATTACTGATGTACTTTCTGTTCTCTTTTTGTACTGTGCATTTTCCACTCAGGGCAACCTCAACTTCAACTAGTCACATTTCAGATGCTCTAAGCCACCTGTGGCTGGTGGTTATGATATTGGACAGTGCAGTTCTCTTAAGTACCAGTACTTGGAATGTGAGCTAAAAGAGACTGATTCATTCCTGAGATCACTCATTCGTTCCTCAATCATATACTGTCCCTCCTCTCAGTTGAGCTTACAGTCTAGAGGGAAATACAAATAATCAGGCAACCACCATAAAGTGGCCATAACAGGGCTCAGCCCAGACTGCTGCGGGAGGAACACATATACCAGTCCAAGGTATGTCCACATTATATTAGAACACCAATTTTTCCAAAATTCTTATTTTTGAAGTTATCTGTGAGATGCAGAGAAAAAAAAATTAGGGAATAATTCGTTTTGTAAGGCTTTTAAGTACTTCAATGCCAAGAAAAAGGCTGCAGAAGGAAATGTCATCCTTCAGGGGAGAGGAAACCCAAGGATCCCTGATGAGAAAATTAGGAAGGAGTGTGTGCCCCGCCTCTGCGATGAGGGGGAGGGAGGCTGGCAAGGAATTCTCATTCTCAGGAAGAAACCAGAGTATCTTCACAGGGTCTAAGGCCCACAGGCCCATCTGCTCCAGGCAGAATTCAACTAAAATACTTGTAAGTCCAATATCCTAAGAGTCTTGGTGACGGCTGGCAGAAGTTAAAGTTGGGGTGGCTGAAACTGGAGATGGGGGTGGGGAGGGCAGAGAGGATGAAACCCCAGGATGGAACCCAGCTCAGTTCTGGGGACTGGGTCCTTGAGAGGTCCCCAGGATGCAGTGCATGGGGTACACACGGACGTTGCTCCTCTCTGAGGACAACCTGTAGGTGGCTCGGAAGATGGGGTGACTGCGGGGCATGGAGACCCAAAGGCGCCCGGCGGTACCGGAGCTGATGGGCCGCCCTTCGACGCGCCAGGGACACACGGCAGGCTGAAGGGTCCGGGGGTCTCCTGGGGGTCCGGAAGGAGGTGGGTGCTGCCTCGCCGGGTGGGGGTCAAGGACTCAGACGGCGCCCAAGTCCGTAGGGACCTCACGGACCAGACGGGCGACTTCCCGGCACCCCCCCTCCCCCCCAACGGACCAGGCTGACCCTGGGTCTGGAGATTCCTCCACCTTAGAGGGGTCGGTGCCAGGCCCCAGACTCACCGCGCGGCTTCGGCCAAGGCCTCGGCTGCCGCCACCTGTGCGGGTACCGCCGCTTCAGGCCCCCGGCCCCACCACCCGCCTTCCCCGCTGTCCTCTAAGCCGGGCGGGAGGGAGGGCGGACTCCTAGCGCTGAGGACCAATCGCCAGGCGCAAGGAGAAGATGGACTGGAAGGCAGACCAATAGAAATGAAGGAGAAGTGAGGCCTGGGACCCGGCTTCTCTAGGGGGCGGGGACTGTTCAAATAGACAAACCACGCGGCCAGTGGCAGACGAAAGGAGGCTTAAAAGAGGACTGCGTCCACTTGGGAGAACCAATCGCTCGTGAGTTGATTTCTGCCACTTCCACGCGCACATCCGGTGCATCGCTACTATTATTCCCCGCTGCATCGACACTGTGGCCGTCCGGATCCTGGTGTGTGGGTACCGCTGTAACCAGGGTGTGAGCGACGTGGTGCCCTGTCTTTAAGAGAGCAAAGATGTAGAACTTTGGGACCAGCGCTAATTATGCACCCGTGATTTCTCTTCTTTGAAATGCAATGTGCGTTTAAAAGCGTTTTTAGTTAGAATTTCCCAGTTTTCCAAAACTACCTAGCTCACAAGATCATTCCCATAACCAAGTTTTAACTGAATGACCTACTCCTAAATAAATACTTTTAAAGCAACATCACTTAAAAACATCCAGGGGCTCCTGGGTAGTTCAGGGGGTAGAGCCTGTGACTCTTGATCTAGGATCCTGAGTTCAAGCCCCACCTTGGATGTGGAGCTTACTTTTAAAAATTAAAATAATTAATTAAAAACATCTTTTCAAACAATCAATGGCAAAAATGGCATTTGACGGCATTGGGCTCCTCGCTGACAGTGCAGAACCTGCTTGGGATTCTCTCTCTGCCCCCTCCCTGCTTGTGTAGGTGCGCGCGCGCGCTCTCTCTCTCTCTCTCTTTCTCAAAATAAACATTTTAAAAAATACAAGCTGTAAAACAATAGAAGTATAATATAACCCCTTATAAAGCATTTATATATTTCTTATGTGTCTATTCAGGGCGGGGGTGGGGGAGGGATATGCAACTAAGATGCAATGAAATACGGAGAGGGCATATTTTTTCCTTTATCCATTACCATCAATTACTCGTGTAATAAAAAGAAGTGTCTAAAATACCATATGACCTCACTCATTTGTGGAATTTAAGAAGCAAAACAGAGAAACATATGGAGAGAAGGAGAGAGAGAGAGGGAAACAAATCATAAGAGACTCTTTAGGATAGAGAACAAACTGAGGGTTGATGGAGGAAGGTGGATGGGGGATGGGCTAAATGGGTGATGGGTAGTAAGGAGGGCACTTGCAATGAGCCTTGGGTGTTGTATGCTAAGTGATAAATCACTAAATTCTACTCCTGAAAACAATATTATATGATATGTTAGCTAGAATTTAGATAAAAATTGGAAAGGAAAGAAAGAAGTGTCCATTGTAGATATTTAAGTTTCCAGAAGTTCTGAAATGCCAAATTAAAGAGGTTTGGCAATATTCTGTGGCTAACAAAACACGTTGGCAGATTCTCTTTTTATACGTACTCTTATTTTCGCTTTTTGTTACTATCTGTACTGTTCTGCACTTTTAACAATTTTAGTAGATCTTGGAGATGTTTTTTAGTTTATAGAAAGCTCCCTTGTTCTTTTGTTACTATATAGGTACATAGTATTTCATCACATGGATGTACGGTAATTTATTTTTCCAGTCCTCTGTTGATGGACACTTGTATTCTTGCTATTACTAATGATGCAGCAAAGAATGCTTTTGTACATATATAATATTTCCCCTGGAAGCTATACCAAATAAATACCCAGAAATCAGATTACAGGGTCAGAGGGTAAATGCATGTATAATCGACAGACATTGCCATATTGTTCTTATAAGGGAGGTACTAATTTTCATTTCCACCCGCAATATATGAGATTTTTGCCACCCTAAGTTGTGATAAGGCCCTGTTTTCTAATTAACAATCACATGGTTTTATAACAACAGTAAGCAATACATATGTAGGTCTCTTTTCAGTTTACGAAGAGCTTTCTTATGTTAAAATGGTAAGTAATATTTATTGAGCACTTACAAAGTATCAGGCATTTTGGTAGACATTATAAAGTAGTGGTTAAAAGCAGCTTGGAGTCTAACTGAATCTGAAACTTTGCTCCAACATTTATAGCTATACGACCAGGTACTTAATCTCTTTATACCTATTTATTTATCATAAAACCAAAGAGATTATAATGCACTTACCTCCGTAAGTAGTGTGGTGGGGTTAAATGCTAACATATGTAAAGTACCTAAAACCCTCTATGACGCATGTGAGCAGTCAATAAATTCTATCACTGTTATTCCTGAACATTGAGGCATTCAACATTCTTGAACTGGGAGGCATGTTGTATATTGTTCAGACTTTACACGTGAGTAAACTGAGATAGAGAGGGATTAGGTTATAGAATTGGTAAACGATGGAGCCAGGGTTTTGATAGATCTGCTTCTTCCTCTTGTCCAACTTGACATCAGAGGACACTTGGGTCTGGCCAGCATCACAGGTATGTGCTAGGTAGTAGAGATGTAAATATTGAACAACCAGCTAGCTGATAAGGTGGGGGTGGGGGGAGGGACATGTTGGTATGTTTGTATGTACAAGGGCTGGCTTTGGGGCTGTGTGAGGTTGTATTGCTCTTAATGAAACTCTTAATGCTTTTTGACCAAGGGGCTGCACATTTTTATTTTGCACTAGGCACCAAAATTATGGAGTCTGTCCCGCATCCATATATGCTACGTGCATATTATAACTGTCACCAATATAAAGGATGTATCTAGCACGTAACTTCTAAGTAATAATACAATACACAATGCCTTTCATTGCAAATTCCATATGGCCAATTGATTCTAACAGGATGCGTCTTTTGGATATCATATAGCCTCCCAAGCTGGGAGAGATGAGTGGTAGCCCGTCATTATATCATATTTCCACAATGCCATAGACAACAGACAAAAGAAACAAATGGTAACATGGAGTGAGATAATTGGGAAGTAATGAGTTTTGTCAACTTTGTTTTAAATATAATTTATCTAATTGTAAGTTTGTACAATTTAATTTTTAATCATGGCTGTGCTTAATGACGGGCTCAGAAAATTCCTGAAAATTTAACAGTTGGCTCCCTCCAGCCAGAATGAGTTACGGCTATGGCCCATAAGCTTCCAGAAGGAGGGCAATGAAGAGCCAAAGCTGGCCACCAGACAGAGTGGGGAGGAAGACGGTTATTTGCATGAATAAGTGAGTAACCTAGAGTATGGATAAAAAGGCAGGCAGGACAGTACATGGCAAATGGTAATCGTTCACAATAAAAAGCGGGAATTATTGCTGTGGTGATTATTACTAGAGCTAATAATTTCTTAGATACCATTTCCCATTTCAGAGCTTCGTTTCCCATTTAAAAAGTGGGAGGTAATTCTACCTGTTTCATTGCCCTCAATGCCCTCCCTGATTTTTGTCCATTTTGTTCACTGCTGCCTAGCATAGTAAGTGCTCAATAAATACTTGTTGAATGAAAAAAATGAGTGAGTCCTATTTTGGTGAATGGAAGCTCTAGGTAAGTCGTAAAGCGACACGCGGTCGAGGTCGTTCCTGTGATGCTGAGACTGTTTCCTGCGAGTCTGGGGGTAGCTGAGGACCTCGGACCCCCGGCGGGAGAGGGGCTTGGCCGCGGGGTCGCCGCTCCGCCCCGGCCCGCCAGGCTCCGCCCCCGGCCCCGCCTCGGCCCCGGTCCCGCCAGCACCGGCCCGGCCCGCGCGGTCGGTCCCTGTTTCCGGGCGGGCCTTCGGAGGCTGGCGCACAAGATGGCGGCTCCAGTATCTTAAGGCGCGTGGCCGCAGTTCGGCCTTGGGCTCTAGCCGCGGACTGAGGTCCAGAGACAGGTTTCGCCCAGGTGACAGGAGGTCGGGGCGGTGCCGTCGGGCCTCGTGGGCTGCCTGGTCGGCTCGGTGCTGCCCCCGGGGCCCGCCGCCTCCCCAGCCTTGCCCCGGGGCGGAATCGAAGGAAGGTCCGGTCCGGCCGCCCCGCCCCTCTTCGCCGCTGAGCGGTAGCTGTGCCGTGGGTGGCTCACTATTAACTTTGACTTCAGCCACGTGCAGCTTCCATGGCGGCCTCTCACGTTCCGGGGGAGATTAACATACAGGCGGGAGAGACGGCCAAGGTCGGGGACAGGGACCTGCTGGGGAACGACTGTCCGGAGCAGGACAGGCTTCCCCATCGCTCCTGGAGGCAGAAATGCGCCTCCTACGTGCTGGCCCTGCGGCCTTGGAGCTTCAGTGCCTCACTTACCCCGGTGGCCTTGGGCAGTGCCCTGGCCTACAGATCCCAGGGCGTCCTGGATCCCAGGCTGCTGGTGGGTTGTGCCGTGGCCGTCCTTGCCGTGCACGGGGCTGGCAATTTGGTCAACACTTACTATGACTTTTCCAAGGGCATTGACCACAAAAAGAGTGATGACAGGACCCTGGTGGACCGAATCTTGGAGCCCCAGGATGTTGTCCGGTTTGGAGTCTTCCTCTACACTCTGGGCTGTGTCTGTGCCGCTTGTCTCTACTACCTGTCCCCTCTGAAACTGGAGCACTTGGCTCTCATCTACTTTGGAGGCCTGTCTGGCTCCTTTCTCTACACGGGAGGTAAGAATTGGCCTGTTTTCCTGGCTGCATGTACGGGAAACTGCTGATTTGCATCGGAGTTTCAGGGCTGGAGAAGAGGTTCCAAAGGTTCTTTTCTGAGTTAGGCCATTTATGTGAAACCTGTAACGTGTAGGTCATGTCGACTTTTTGAAAACAGTAGTGACTTGAGAAGATCCCAGCTTGGCTTATGGATGGTAGGAATCACAGAATCACGTGTATGTAAATTTTTCTATTTGGTTTTCTTTCGATGGTCGTATCTTAGGAGGCCACGGTTTCAAATTTTAGAGGAATTAAATTTGAAAACTCAGAATTATACAGCTAATTACTGGCAGCTGGTTTGCTGTGTAACTCCTTGCAACAGGCTGATTAAGGTAGTGATGGGCAGGTGGTCAAGTCCTACGTATTGAGCACCTATTATGTG